TAGATGTTCCTTATCAAATCAAAATGTCCAAAGTGAACTACTATGGTTACTTTCTATGGGTTCCCTCCACCCCCCAAAAAAATAAACTAAGGGCATGAAACATATATAACAAAGCCTCACTGTAGTTAGTCTCTTGTCTAGGCAGTTTCCAGACACCTCCATCCCTTGACAGAGCCACGAGTGTCCAGGTGGCTGGTAGTTCTGTGTATGTGTGTGAGAGAGAAAGAGATTCCTTCCTTCCTTCCTTCCTTCCTTCCTTCCTTCCTTCCTTCCTTCCTTCCTTCCTTCAGACCTGAAAGGAATCAAGGTAAGAGGACTGCAATGTTTGGTAAAATCTGGGTCATATGACAACCCAGAGCCAGAGGAAATGAAACTTGAGCAGCCAGCAGGTGGCAAAATGTGCTCAACAGCTGGTGCAGTGGCACCCTTCCCACTACGACTCCCATCCTTCACTGCTTGGCCCACAATACCCGCAATGAGCTTTTCTGTGGTGCCTGAGCCATTTGTGAAGAGCCCAATGGCAGGAGCAGCCAGGCGGTGCACGGCCGCCCCCAGGCCTTTGGCACAAAAGACCCTCCCGTGTGGTTCTGGGGTGCACCCCTCCTTGCCTTTGCTCCAAAGAGTGCAATAAGCCTCTACCAGGGCCTTTCTCTGCCTCTTCCCTCGGCCCCTGAATTCTGGGTGTGCCAAGACAGCACACGTGCAACACCTTTGCACCGAGCTGGTGAGACCAGGTGCCGGCTGGGGATGGGCGAAGGGGGCGGCCAGCCTTTGAAGCCACATTTCCTTATGCCCCCGCGGTGCTCACCCTGAGGTGGGTCCCTTTGCCCAGAGAAACCGAGGCCGTCCGGGAGCCGTTCTGCGCCACTCAGTCCAGGGCGCCCGCTTGCATTCTGCCGCCAGAGACGGCCAGTTTGTAGGCTCTGCTTTCTTACACTGGGAAGGAATCAGTCCTGAATCCTTTGTGATCTTTCCCAATCTGGAGAATTTACAAAAGGTAAATGAAGCAGAGCCCCCTTGGGGGGGGGCATGCTCTAAAGTAGTTGGCAGGACTGCTCAGGGTGCCATCAAAACCTAAAGACAAGCTTTTGCAGCAGTTTAAATCTAGTCCAGATCCCTCTTTCTGCTTGACTCCTGCACATGGCTTCCCACAAGCACCTCCAGAGGATGAGGCCCAGGGAAGACTGTCTCCCCCCCCACACACCCTCATGTGAAAAAGAGATGATAGTTATACTTGAATGAGGCCCAGGGAAGACTGTCTCCCCCCCACACCCTCATGTGAAAAAGAGAAGATAGTTATACTTGGTGATGGTGGGCATTTCTATGACATTTCATATTTTCTCTGCAACCTATGCATTTTAACCCATAAGCAAATTCGAACATGTTTGTGAGTAGCCTGGCCTTTCCTCATCAGATTCCTCATGAGATTACTGGCCTTTCCTCATCAGATTACTCATAAACAGGTTCAAACCCACCCATAAACTCAAACATACATTGCAGGGGAAAAAACATGACACGTCATAGAAATCGTCCCCCTAGATGGGGGAGAGCAGAGGCAGACAACCAGCCATGGAAGTATGCCTGCAGCTGCCTTCTCCTCCAAGGGTCGTCCCCGTTCAAGCCTGTTTTTGTCTCACTGAAATGCGAATGTGTTCCCAGGGAAGATCTTAGAGCGGCTGATCTACGAGAAGGCCCCCCTCACGGTCTTGGAGCTGGGCACCTACTGTGGCTACACCACCATCCTGATCGCCCAGTCGCTCCCGCTGGGAGCCCGCCTGTACACCGTCGAGAAGGATGCCCGCAAAGCATCGGTGGCCGAAAAAGTCATCCGCCTGGCCGGCTTCGACGACGATACGGTGAGTGGCCTTGGATGTTGCCGCACCCCTTTCCCCACCCCCCACCCCCGCATGGCTCTGGGTGCCAAGAGGCCAGGCTGTCCAGGGCCGAATGGAGCCCTCAGAAAGAACAGCGACCCCCCCCCAAAAAAAACCAAGAGAAAACACGGTGGGTGGCCATGATGGAGACGTAGAAAATGATGCAGGGGATGGATATAAAGTGGAGAGAGGGAAGTTCTTTCCCTTCTCACACAAGGTATAAAGTGGAGAGAGGGAAGTTCTTTCCCCTCTCATGCAAGACCAGAACCAAGGGACCTCCACTCCAATGGAGGGTTGGGAGAGGGAGAATGGGCCAAAGAAAAGAGAGTGTGGTTAGTCTGTGGAACTCCTTGCCACAGGACGTGGGGATGCCTCTGGCATCTAGAGGCCTTTCAAAGGGGATAGAACAGATGCCTGGAGGAAAAGTCCATCGCAGGTGACAACCCCATACATTGAGGGATTAGGACTTTAACGTGGCTGCCCTGTGGTTCAAAAACGGCTTGTTCAGGAACTCTCCTCAAGACGTTGCAGAGTCACAGGGGGTTCCAGGACAGGCCCAGCTGCCTTGCAACGCGGCAGATCTCCTCGGCGGAGAGGACAGAGGGTCCTGGCCCTTTCAGGAGGAATCCCTTGCCTGCTGTTGAGGTCAGGATGTTTGGAGGCTGGAGGTTGAAACTCAGCCTTCGTGGGTGGAGATCCTCTGCCCGGTGGCCCAGGGACCATGCCGAAGAGCCCCCCCCGCCTTCTGGGGCACCCTAGGAAGAGGCAGGTCACCCCCAAGTATCAAATGCAGGAGGATGGGAAGACGGCCGCTGATAGCCTGGGGGTTTGTGATCCAGGCAGTCGCTTCTCCAAGCTCTGCACAGATTAGAGACGAGGCACATCGCCTGACTGGCACCATCTCTGCACCCGGTGACTGAGCCTGAGGTCTAATCCCCTCAGAGCCTCCTCAATCCAATTTCAAGGTCATCGAGGGAAGGTGAGGAATAAGGCAGGGTTCACGGAGGGCACGGCCGGATCGTGGACGCAGAGGCAGAGATGAACCGCTCGCCACGCCCTTTGGGAGCAAGAAGGTCGAAGCGGCCACCCGAGGCGCCACGTCCCTTGGCCACCTGGGCGCTTGAGGGTCCCAATCTGCCGGGTGGAGGGTCTCGGCTACTTCTTCTGACAATTCTGCAAGCAGCCATGGAGTTGGGGGAGGGGAGAGGCCAAAGCTGAAAGGCCTCCCTTTCTCTGGCAGCTTCTCCGCAGAGGGTGGGAGAGGAGCCCAGGGATGGTCCCGGCGAGGAGGTGCAAACAATCCAGGCCCCCCACACTCCATCCGCCCTGAACCGCTGGCTGCCTTCTCACTATCCCTTGTGCAGGAAAACACAGCAGTCTGTGACAGCAGCCCGAGGAGCGGTCCCCAGGTGGGCCTTTTTGCTCCCGTTGCTTCCACGTAGACCCCCCCCATGTCGTCCTGCTTCTGGACGTCTGGGTCCCTCTTTAAGGTGGGAAGGCTGTCTGGAGTTCTTCTTCAGGCCGCTCTGGACAAGGAGGACCGGCTCCCTCTCTGACGACTTCCTCTCTCCGTTCCCCACGCTGGGCAGGTGGAGCTGATTGTGGGCCACTCGGAGGAAGTCATTCCCCAGCTCAAAGACAAGTACGGGCTGCCCCGGGTGGACCTCGTCTTCATGGACCACTGGAAGAGCTGCTATTTGAGGGACCTGCAGCTGCTGGAGGCCCACGACCTTCTCCCTGAAGGCGCCACCGTCCTGGCCGACAACATCATCTTCCCCGGGGCCCCCCACTTCCTGCAGTACGCCAAGGCCTGCAGCAAGTACAAGTGGAGAATTCATCGGACCAGCCTGCAGTACTTCCGGGCCATTCCTGATGGGATGGCTCAGCTCACCTACACCGGTCCACAGTGACAGGAGGTGTCGACAAAGGGCTCCTGCCACGTGTGCGAGACATGCGGCCATAAATGGTCACAAGAGCACTCTGCTGGCACACACGCGCATTTCAACGGTCTAGAAAGCCAGACAAAGAGCCTCGTGGCGCAGTGGTTAAAATGCTGTACTGCAGCTAAAACTGTGCTCACGACCTGGGGTTCAATCCCAGGTAGCCGGCTCAAGGTTGACTCAGCCTTCCATCCTTCCGAGGTCGGTCAAATGAGTACCCAGCTTGCTGGGGGGGGGGGGCAATGTGTAGCCTGTATAATTAAATTGTAAACCGCCCGGAGAGTGCTTGTAGCGCTATGGGGCAGTATATAAGTCCAATAAATAAATAAATAAATAAAGACAGCTTTACTGTGTACAGCAGATAACCGGTTGGCAGTCCGGACAACGTTATTTTAACTTAGCATTTCCCATGTATTTCTCAATTCATAGTTTCTAGTAGTGGTGAAGGGTTTGGAGGGATACAAGGACACCATGCAGATCTGCCCGTTCCTTTCTGGAAGCTGTTTTTAAAGAAAAGTTGTCTCACAATTTTAAAAAAAAGGAGGGGGAAAAAGTGGGCTTCTTCTATACCACCTCATAGTGCCTAAAGCATTCTTTGGACAGTTTTCAATTTAATTATGCAAACCACACTTTGCCCCGCCAGCAAGCTGGGCACTCATTTTATTGAATTCAGAAAGATGGAAGGCTGAGTCCACCTTGAGCCAGCTATCTGAGCAGGTTGTGAGCAGAGTTTTGATGGCAGTACTACAGTTTAATCACCACTACATTTTTGGAACTGACCAACCGAGCTGTTTGGATGCTCTAGCTAATTTATAGTGGTTTGATTCTTCATTGCCCACATGGGAAGAAATACGATTCCTAGGTTAGCACTGATGCAGTAGAAGAAAGAATTTATAGAGCGCAAGGCTTGGTTTTAAAGCAAGGTGAAGCTTTGTGGTTGTCTTTTGAAATAATATCTGTATGACAACATAAATTAAAACCAGCTGCCTGACTTTTGTCCATGTCTTCTTCCGCTGTAAGCAACATGTTAGGGACTCGGCAACCGGAGCAGGCAAATTCTCTGCATCTGGATTGCCAAAGGTTGGAACTTATCTATCGCTTTGCTCACAGTTCCAGGAACTGGGCAGGATTCACCTCTAAATCCCAGGAATTTCTTTCCCACTAACCCTGACATGAGACGTCATGCCCCCCCCCTTTCCACTCACAGCTAAGGTATAGTTCAGACTCTTTGAATTGCTCATTAGACTTTGACCTTTATTCTTGGTGAGAAGGTAGATTAGGATAACCATTGTTTTGACTTTTTTTCCCCCAATCACACAAAGTGTGAACACGGGCCACTGGGGTTGGTTGGGCCGGC